AAAAAAAAAAAAAGAATGACTGTGAATAAATATAAGTAAATGCAATGAAAAACTTTGGGAAAGCAATTTCCCCCAGTTTTCCCAAAGAGAAAGCTTATTCTGGGACAAATAAATGCAAAATGTGCTGCCTGGTGTTACGAATCATTTGAACCATTGACTATTTTTAAAATGCCTCCCCTGTTTGCATGCAGTGATAGAAAACACTTAATAAGGACCCTGCAAATTGAGTGCTGCTTGCTAAAGAAAAAAATCTACCCTTTCATCACTCTGTTTTTCTCCTGGAGCTAATGTTATGATCAATAGATTGCCAGTGTTAATTTAGATAAATCTAGAGTTTAATTGCCATTTGGAAAAAGTAGCTCTTCTTAAAACATAGGAAAGCTAAAAAAGAATGGAGAAGTTACAGGGTGTTAAATACAGCCTTTGGGGAGAGGGCAGAAACAGAAGAAGGAAAAGGTTGTGTAGAGAAGTTGTTGTGCATATATTTACAGGGTCTCTGTGTACCCTGAGTCACAGTGCCTCGGAATCCTGCCTACAGCTGTCAAGAATGATGCTGACTTCTTCCCCACATCTTCTGACTTTCAAATGCAACACAGGACCCAAGAAGAAGAGATGTTGCTCCATGAAATGGACCCTAAAAGAGTTTTCTTTTCAATTAGCACGGAGCCTGAGTTAATGAAAGCACCATCTCTCAGCTCCCTTCCTACACCGGCACAGAGCTACACAGCAGAAATTCATTAGCTGCCTAAGCTAGCTCCTTCCTCATTTGGCTGAATGCTTAGATTCCCCATGAGTTACAACACTGATCCCACAGTTGGCTTGTCCACATAAATATCTCATCCTACTGTTAAGAATATCAAGGGCCTTGGTACAAGCCTGTGTGTGGTGTTGGCTCTATTACTGGTGGCTGATGGAACCCTAGAGAAGCCACTTATCCTCCTGGTACTTGGTTTTCCTTCCTTACATGGAGTGATCATTGCTGCTTCTTAGGAAACTTTCCAAAAGAAGAGGGTTTAGAGTCTCAGTCAGAATTTATTGGCCACTTATTGTGACCAGTAATTAATAAGGAGGTTAGAGTAGCTATTGTGCTTATCTTTAAACAGTCTTTCATTTTTTTCATGTTGGGAGCTTTAGCTGAACTAAATGTTCAAGTCCATTTAGTTTATGTGGACCCCTGTTACTGTTTAGATCTAAGATGGCCCCCCAGAAGTCTCATGTATTTAGAGGTAGAACTCTTGGGAGGAGATTGAGTCATTGAGACACTATGCTCATCCGTGTATTATTTCATTGATGAGTTGATAGCTGAATGTGCTGTTACGGGATGGGGCCTGACCAGGAAGGGTATGTTCTTGTCCCTGGCTCCTTCCTTCTCCCTCCCTCTC